TAAGTAGCAAAGAATATGCAATGGAACAAAGAAAGACTGTTCAATAAATGGTGCTGGAAAAACTGGACTGCTATATGCAAAAGAATGAAGCTTGACTACTACCTCACACCATGCACAAAACCAACTCAAAATGGATCAAAGAACTAGACATAAGACTTGAAACCATAAAATATATAGAAGAAATAATAGATAAAACATTACATGACATACATCTCAGTAACATTTTTAAAGACACATCACCCAAAGCAAAGATAGTGAAGAAAAGGATAAACAAATGGGACTACATCAAATTAAAGAGTTTCTGCACAGCAAGAGAGACATAAACAAAAACAGAGACACCCGCTGATTGGGAAAAATTTTTGCACACCATACTAATGATCAGTGACTGATCACAAAGATCTACAAAGAGCTGACTAAACTCAACAAAAACAAAGTAAATAACCCAGTTAAAAAATGTGCAGAAGAGCTAATAAGACACTTTTCCAAAGTGTAAATGCAAATGGCCAGAAGGCATATGAAAAAAATGTTCAACATTGCTCATAATCAGAGAAATGCAAATAAAAATCATGCGATGCCATCTTACACCAGTGAGAATGGAACATATCAAAAAAACTATCAACAACAAATGTTGGCGAGGATGTAGAGAAAAAGGAACTCTCTTACACAGCTGATGGGAATATAAACTGGTCCAACCACTATGGAAAGCTGTGTGGAGATTCCTCAAACTGCTAAAAATGGGGCTTCCTTATGACCCAGCAATTCCACTTCTAGGTATCTGCCCAAAAGACATAAAAACATTAATTCAAAAGGACAACCGCACCCCTGTATTTATTGCAGCACTATTCACAATAGGTAAGCAATGCAAACAACCCAGATGTCCAAAATAGATGATTGGATCATGAAGATGTGGTATATATATAAACACACACATACACACAATGGAGTATTATTCAGCAATCAGAAATGATAAACTCATGCCATTTGCAGCAAAATAGATGGAGCTGGAAGGGATCATGTTCAGTGAAATAAGCCAGAAAAAGAATATCAAATGTTCTCACTTATATAGGAGGAATGTAGAGGATCCAAATAAGGGATCGGGGGAAAAAAAAGGTTATTATAAAAAATGAAAATGAAAATCAACAAGCAACCATAAACCAGAGACATTCTGCAGAGGGGAGAAGGGAGCAGGGATCAAAACAGGGGTGGGAAGAGCACAAGGGGCTACTGTGATAGTACACAGGTGAACTGGTGGTGGGAATTTCATGGGGACGATAACCGAGAAAGCACACATTGTAAAAAAATGAAGAACGATGCAAAAAAAGTTTAAAAAATAAAATAATAAAAATATATAAACACTGTTAAAAGAAATAGAAGACACAAAGGAAAGATTTTCCCTGCTCTTGGAATTGAAGAATTAACATTGTAAAAAGGGCCATTCTCCCCAAAGTAACATACAGATTCAATGCAATCCCAATAAAACTGCAATGGCATTCTTCAAAGAAATGGAACAACTGGAGGCCTCTCCGGTGGCGCAGCCGTTGAGCGCTGGGTTGCGAAGCTGCCCGCAGCCTCTGCAGCACCGGTTGGATCCCGGGCTGCTCCCCGGCCACCGGAGGAGGGTCCCACATGGCACGCAGACCTCTCCTGCAGCCCGCTGCTCCCCTCAGCAGTGTACTTCAGTCCTTCTGCCTGCTCTGTTCCCTGCTCTGGCTCTGATGAATTCTCTCACCCTCCCGCGCTTCTGACTGTACCCAGTGCTTGTATAAATAAATAAATAAATCTTAAAAAAAAAAGAAGAAATGGAACTGTTACTGAAATTCAGATGGAACCACAAAAGACCCTAACTAGCCAAATCTCTCCTGACAAAAAAGAGGAACCATGGTGATATAAACTTCCAGACTTCAAACTATACTACAAAGCCATAGTAATTACAACAGCATGATAGTGGGTAAAAAGCAGACACACCAAATAATGGAATAGACTTGAAAGCCCAGCAATAAAACCATAACATATGGATAGCTAATCTATTACCAAGGAGTGAAGAATATACACGAACAAGAAGTCTCTTCAATAAATGGTGTTGAGAAAACTGCATGCAAAAGAATGAAACTAGTCCACTATGTCACACCCTACACAAAAATCAACTCAAATGTATAAAACAATTGGACTTAAGACCTGAAACCATAAAACATATAAAACAGGCAAACTAGTCCATGACATAAATTTCAGAGAGAACTTTGTGGATTCATTTCCAGCTGCCAGGAAAACAAGAGAATCTAAAAGTTTGGCACTAAATCAAACTGGAAAATTTTGAACAGTGAAAAAAACAATCACCAAAATGAAGTACAACCTTACTGACTGGGAAAAACTATTTTCACACCAGATTTTTTTTTTTTTAAGATTTATTGATCTATTTATACAAGCACTGGGTACAGTCAGATGCGCAGGAGGGTGAGAGAATCCACCAGAGCCAGAACAGAGAACAGAACAGGCAGACCGATGAAATACACTACTGAGGGGAGCAGCGGGCATGGCAGACGAGGTCTGTCACGCCATGTGGGACCCTCACCAGCGGCCAAGGATTGAACCGGCACTGCAGAGGCTGTGGGCAGCTTTGCAGCGCAGCGCTCAACCTCTGCGCCACCACAGGAGGCCCTTCACACTAGATATTTGACAAGGTACTAATATCCAAAACCTACAGGGAGCACATACAACTCAACATAAAAAATAACCAAACAGATGGGCAGAGGTGTTAAATAGACACTTTTCCAAAGACATACAGATGATCAAATGAAAAACTGTTCATCACCTATCATCAGAGAAATACAAATCAAAACCACTACTTTATATCACTTCACACCAATGAAGAGCAGTCCATGCTAAAACAGTAAGTGCTGGCGAGGGTACGAAGATGTAAACCTTCATACTGTGGGAGTTTAGACTGGCCCTATGGAAAGCATAGATCTAAACATGGATCTGCTATACAACCCAGCAATTTCACTCCTAGGAATCTATCCAAACACAAAAACACTTACAAAAGAAACCTGCAGTCCTATGTTTATGGTGGCACTATTTACGATAGACTACATATGGAAATAACTTAATGGCCCAAAATGGATGAGAGGATCAAGGAAATGTGGTATATGCACACAATGAAGCTCAGTGATCAAAAAAGATAAACTCCTATCATTGTAGCAACATAGGTGGAGCTGGAAGGGATTATACTAAATAATCCACAAGGAGAAATATATGTACTGCATGGTGTCACTTATATGTGGAATACAGAGAAACCAAACAAAAGATCAAATACCAACATTAAAATCAGGAAGGCCTCAATATTAGAATCAACTTCTGAAAGCTGACCATAGACCTAAATCCAAAGCGGGGAGGCAAGATGAGAAAACACAATGGACTATGGTGACAGACAATGTACGTTTAGTAGTCAGAAGCAACACTGACCACATGCTGTCAAAATATTTACAAGAATGTAAAACAATAGTAGTTTATTAAATAAAAAAATTTAAATAATTATAAAAATGATTTGAAAAACAACTAAAATCAAACTTCAGTTCATTACTAAAATTCAATGTAAGGGTTTAACAGCAGTTTTAAAACAACTGCAGAAAGAATTCAGAAGTGATCAGAAGATGTATTTTAAAAAAGTTTATAGGGCCTCCCCTGGTGGCACAGCGGTTGAGCACTGGGCTGCGAAGCTGCCCACAGCCTCTGCAGCGCCAGTTCAACCCCCAGCTGCTGGCGAGGGTCCCACATGGTGCGACAGACCTCTCTTGCTACGCCTGCTGCTCCCCTCAGCAGTGTATTTTGTCAGTCTGCCTGTTCTGTTCCCTGCTCTGGCTCTGGTGAATTCTCTCACCCTCCCGCCTTCTGAATGTACCCAGTGCTTGTATTTAAAAAAAAAAAAAAAAGTTTACAGAATTCAATGCTGAGATCAAAAATTGAGGCACTATTTGTAAGAAAAAAATGGCTAAGAATTTCCAGAAATGGTAAAAGAGATCTATCCATACATAAGGTAGTATCAGGGAGGAATGAAAAAAAATTCATACCTAGGCACAGGACATGGAGCCACAGATGGAAAAATGCCAACAGTACAAAAATGTCAAAACAAATTCTTTAAAGACCAAGACTTCAAGGGGAATGACTGTTAGCTTCTCAATAGCTTCACTGAAAACCAATACATAGAAGGAAAAAAAAAAACCTCCACTGTTCTAGAGAAAATAGACATAAGGTTTCAACAAAAACATGTCCTCTCCACCTCCTACCCGCAGGAAAATCTAAGAGTCACTCACCTACTTATACTAAAATACATTCAAAAGAATGTATTTTAAGCAAAAGAAATTGGGATGATATAAAATTCAGGAAGGAAAAAATGAGGATAAAAGCGTAAATGTGGGGCCTCCCTGGTGGCGCAAGGGGTTAAGACACAACCTATGAAGTTATCCGCTGCCACTGCAGCACTAGTTCGAACCCCAGCCAAGGAGTACCAACATGGCACAGCTGACCTCTCCTGACTCGTGTGCTGCTCACCTCAGCAATATATTTCAGTCAATCTGCCTGTTCTGTTACCTACTCTGTCTCTGGGGAATCCTCTCACCCCTCAAACCTCTGGCCTGTACCCCAGTTATTGTATGCATAAATAAATAAATCTTAAACACACACACACCCCAAAAACATAAGCATACAGAAAAGATTTAAAATAGAAATATAAAACAGACCTTACAGGTTAACTACCAAACAAAAGAAAATTACTGACTTTCAGAATAGACTTGAAGCAATGAACAGAGAATTCCTACATAACATTAAAATTACCAGACGTAACAGTCTTAAAAAATAAACTATAATGCATTACCTTCACATCAAAATATACAAAGCAAAAGTGGAATGAATTATAAGGATTTTCAACAAATTTAGACAAAATCTTGTGTTAATAAACAGTTTTTAAACCAGACTATATCAGATTTGAATACAATGAAAACATGATTCAAATGACATTTATAGGATACAACCACTGAACCGCACAATATTCTTTTTTTAAGCACACCAACACATTTTAATGCACCCAACAAAGCAGCATCAACATACATAAAGCAAACATTAACAGATCTAAAGGGAGTCACTGACAGCAAAGCAATAATAGAGATTTTAACAAACAACTTATATCAATGAATAGGTCACCTAGACAGATTATCAACATGTAAAAATGACCTTAAATGACAAATTAGATTTAATGAACTTAGTATTTACAGAGTATTTGACCCCCAAACAACAAAATATACTTTTTTCCTCAAATATAGCAAATTCTCAAGGATAGATCATATGTTGAGACAAGTTTCAATAAATTTATGAAGAGTGAAAGCACATCAAGCATCTTTTCAGAACAAATGGTATTGAAACTAGAAATCAACCAAAAGAGGGGAAAACCAAAAATATGTGAAGACTAAAAAACATACTAATGAAAACCTACTGAGCTAAGATGGACATCAAAGTGTGTATACACACACACGTGCACATTTATGTGTGTAAAATATACACATACATAGAATCAGCGGAAAAATGAAAAGAAGTTACATTACCAGAATTTGTAGGATGCAGCAAAATTGTTGCTAAGAGGAAAGCTTATACAGGAAAATACAGACCTCACGAAACCATACCACTACCACCATACAAAAAAATTCAAAATGGGTTAGATTTCAATATAAAATATGAAATCATAACATATAATATAGATGATCTGTTCCTTGACATCAGGTTATTTATAGAGATCCAAGCATATGTTATAAAATTATGGTAAAAAGCAAGGCCTTGATAAACACAGGGTTATCCCTAAAATGGAAGCAATGAAGATGAGATGGGAAGGGATACACAAGTATTAGTAATGATGGTGGTCAAACCAACCTAGTAATAGGGACATACATGTACTTACAGGTACACAGAATTACTATTCCTTGTACTTTGCGTATCTTATATCCTTTAGATCTACTGAATATTTTATAAATTTTAAGTCCACACTCTTCAGAGTTGGCAAAGTCAAAAGGAAACAAGATGTCCAAAAATAGACAAGTGCACCTCATAAACTCTGCATGTATCCCCAAGTGTAATGAGATTTTTTTGAAGAGAAAAAGAAAAGTCAGGCCACTGGAGAATGATGCATAATCATATGCAATGTTTATTTAAAATAATTTTCCAAGTCTGCCCATATTTTATCAAGTTTTGCTTCACTTTATCCTGTTGGAAACCAGATTTAACAGGTTATATTTTAATGTTTATGCTAATTTTTTAATTAATGCTAATTTTTATATTAACACTAGATCCAATTATATTGACGAATAGACAGTGTGAATTACTTTTTTGGTATTATGGTATTTTTGGTATTGTACTTTTTGGTATTGACCATTTCTTGGATTAGATGCTATATGCTATTTCAAGTTGTCTCCAACTAGCTGAATGACTTAAGAAAATTATGCTACCTCCCCAGGCCTAATTTCTCACTGCAAAAGTAAAGACTAAATTATTTGTATTTTTTTATCTGGCTTAAAAATTCCATGAATACATTCCTCACCATTTTCATTTAATTTTATTTCATCTTTATTTGCTACTTCATCTACAAATCGTAATCATCCACACTCAAGTAAACATGAATTCATTAGAATATAAACACAAACCCAAAATTTCTTAATCATTCTAACATACTACAATTAATAGAAAAAAGGGCTTTAATTTGAATTTTCATTTTTTTATTTCTGCTTCTTTATTTAAAGTCAATAATAAAGTCACAATGTAAAATGAATGCATTTAAAAACAAAGATACATTTCAATAACAAAAATATGCAATGATCATGAAATCTATTGTACACTTTGCTAAGGTCAAGAGAATGAAAGATGGTATGAAAAAAATCAATCTTCAAATATATCCTTAACAAAACTCTCTTGTAAATAGCAAAATTATTTATGAAGACATGTTTACATAGTTGGACACCAGCTGCAACAACAAGTGGTGTGTGCTGGGGGCAAGAATAAGATGAGAAAGCTCCCTATGTTTTCTAGAGAAAAATATATGGGCATCAGGAACTCAAGATTAAGCTTTAACATTTAATTCAAAATAAAATAAACATATCTAACAGATCACAACTGTATGAATATATTTTTTTTGATAGAAATGTGATGGGGCATTTCTTAACAATAACAGCTAAGTAACCACGTAAGAAGTGTGGAAATACCCACAACCCCAAAACCCAAGCCCTAGTCACTAACTTAAAATAAATACCTTCTATGAAATTTTTTTTCACATTACTAAAATATGCTCATTTACTTGGGATGATTCATATTTAGAATATTTCAAAAATTTGTTTTTAGGTGTGGAAATACAAGAGCTCAGATTTTTTAAACCATCTATGTATTGGTAATAACTGAGTTTTAGCAGTGATTAACAAACCTTCCGTTATATATTGATAGGATTTCCTTAAGCATATTTGATCAACTACTGCAAGAGTGATGCTGGTGGTAATAAGTGATACTCTCAAATTTTTCCTTTTAAAAAATATATAATACATGTAACACTAAGTTATATGTTACATTGTATATTTAACAAGGAATGACTTTTTAGGCTCTAATAGGAAGAAAAGAAGCAAATAATGGCATTTATTTACCTATTTTCTCACTGATAAATCACAACTAACATTCAAAATGGTGGATAAAGTAAGTGATATTATGCAAAAAATTAAAATCATTATTTTACCTAAAGAAACAAAAATAGCATGAGAAGTTAAATGAGCACACATAGGTCCCAAAGTTCACACTATGATTCCAAACAAGATTTTCAAAGCAAAAGGCAGCTACGTACAATTCTGTAGGTATTTCTTATTCTACAAAGATGAATTTCAGAGCAAATGTCAGCTAGTTCAATCTTATCTTGTCAAAGATAAATATTCAGATGAACTAAAAGTTCCATTTAAAGTGCGCCTGCTGACCAACTCTATACTGACCCTGCTAAATGCAGTCACCAACAAAGTAGCCATCACGCATGCTTATTTCATTCACTGTCTTTGCTATCAACAGTCACAGAATAATGGATTTTTTAACCTAATACTTTATTACAGTGGACTATAGAAAAAACAATCCTAAACCTATCTTCTAAAATTCCAGAGTATGATAACCTCAATATTTTTAAATACTGAAAATGTAAAGGTCCATACAAATTAAGGGCTGTATTAAGTGTATACATTTTTTACCTTAATAGTCACTTGATGTGCTCTTAAAATCTCTATGAGAGAAGCAGATATTGTCCCCAGGTTTTTTGGCAATAGATTCAAAAGCAAAAGTAGCAGTGCTGTTGCAGTCCATAAAACTTGCTTTTTTTTTTTAAAGCTAAATTATTCAATATCTGTATTGTTATTGCACTCATATTGCCCGGAATACATCTATAGCAACTCAGCAATAGTGATTGCAACAAATGTAAATAAAGTAAGTGGGTCTACAAAGCATTTGATTTCCTTATTAGATAAGAAAGTTTTCATAGAGGAAATGCAAACTGCAATTCAAATCAGATTACATAAGCTTAATAATTTTTTAACCTTATATAAAATTAAACCTAACCCTAATCACTACAAATCTGTAACGAATCAGAAAAAGATTTACAGTACACAAAGTCTTGACTATCGTTGCATTCCACTCCTGAAGTCACTCTGAGTTAAAACAGCAATTTTTCCAAGATTTAAAGAAAAATAGATTTTATAAAAGGGATTCTTTTTAATCACTGAATACATCATTTTTATTACTAAAACAGAAATAAGTTATAAGTTTTTCCACTATAATTGCTCTGATGAAAGAATTCTTGCTTTTAACTCCTAACAAATGCTACATTTTCAAGACTAAAGGAATTATCAGTAGGCATTCTTTCTTCTTGATCTAAGTTACTTTTCTCTAAAATATGTCAAGTAAGCTTTTAAAGATTCAGGTAGGGGCAGCTTCATGATTTTTTCTCTCAGTAAATTCTGAGGTGGCTCCTCTGGCTTCATGGCTTCACTGTGATCTTTCTCTTCCTCTTCTTTGTTATCTTCTTCCATCTTTTCATCTTCTTCACTGTCTAGAGGCTGAGGAATAAGCTGATTACCCACAAATACATAAGTATTAATTCTCTGTTTAACTCTCTTTCTTTTCCTTTTGGGTGCAGCCCTTTGAGGAATCCCTTTGGCCTGCATCTCATCATTTATGAAATTTCTAAGTGTGCGTCGAATATAAATACGAGCCAAGTCCTGCAGATTCCTGACAGCACAAGGAGCTAAGGGGAAAAAAAAAAAAACAACAAAAGACAAAGTAAAACATTATTTATTGTTAATTTCTTCACAGAGCAAAATATATATTGAATTAAAACGGAATTTTCTGACTCTTTCGTCTAACAAAGACTTCAGGGTGCCTGTTACATGCCAACCACCATTCTAAGTACTGAGGACAGTGGAAAATGCAGAGGGTTTATACAAAGACAGGTTAAGTGTCCCCATGTAAAGGCAAAAAAATTCTTTGAAAGGATAATAAAACGTAAAAACAGAGTACATGAGAATTAAGAAGTTATGGGACAAGAATGGGAAAGAATTTTACCCTATGTATTTTTTATACTTTCTGAACTTAAACCCATATAAAATATCCATCAGAAATCATGCTGCAAATAAACAAATAGCCAAAAAAGACACCATGGATTTCATAAAGTCAATGATAACATATTTCTAACAAATACACAACTTGGGAACATATACAGTCTCTGCTTCACTCTCATCTCCTACAGATAAAAAAACACATAGTAAGCCTAAAAAAATACTTTTTTTTTTTTTTTTGGTAGCCTGTTCTGTATTCTATGTGTGGAGAAATAAATTCTCTAATTTACACCTAAAATTGATTCTCCTAGCTTCCGGCCCTGTGAAAATAAAACTATTACCAAGAATCCTTCTCAAATACCTAAACAACCTAAACAGAATCATCTTTAGTTGAATAGCATTTTAAAAAATTCTTCAAGGGCCTCCCCAGTGGTGCAGCGGTTGAATGCTGGGCTACAAAGCTGCCCGCAGCCTCTGCAGCGCCGGTTCGATCCCCGGCCACCAGCGAGGTTCCCACATAGAGCATAGACCTCTCCTGCTGTGCCCGCTGCTCCCCTCAGCAGTGTACTTCGTCAGTCTGCCTGTTCTGCTCCCCGCTCTGGCTTGGTGAATTCTCTCACCCTCCCACGCTTCTGACTGTAACTAGTGCTTGTATAAATAATCTTAAAAAGAAAATCTTCATCATGTATGTTTTTTAAAAGATTTATTTATTTATTCAAGAACTGGAGTATAGGCCAGAGGTGCAGGATGGTGACAAGATTCACCAGAGACAGAGCGGGGAGCAGAACAGGCAAATGGACCAAAAACACTGCTGAGGGGAGCAGCAGGCCAGACAGGAGAGGTTTGCGACACCATGTGGGTATTTCCCGGGCTGACCGGTGTCCAGAGCATGCAGTGTTGCGCAACACGTGCCATCAATTAAGTTTCACTTTACCGTTTCGCCTTCTGAGAAACCACAGGTTCTTCCTGTTAATCAAATAAGACTGGGAGGTACGATGGGAGGAGCTACCAGGATGTAAGAAGAGAACCACGAAAAGGTCAGGGGGTTACTGCGAGAGGAGTAGAGAGAAGGTCAGGGAAGGTAGAAAGACAGGGAAAAGAGAAGATAAAGAAAAAATAAAGAAGCAACCGCTAGCGTCAAGTTGTCTCAAGCCCCTCATTTCAATCCTCAGCCCTTCTCTTTTCGTGCCCACGAATCCCACGGGTCGGGCCAGGTGGCGCCCAACGTGGGGCATGAAAAAGAACGAAGGAACCGCTAAAGGACCAGCTGTGGTGAGCCAGCAAGTAATGTAAGGTAGCTGGGATCATGAGCAATTCAATGTCCAAGGGGTAGTTAGTTATTTCCCTGGAAGCTCTCCTAAAAGAGTTTGGGGTTCCTCTCAGTAGAAAAATTCTTAAAGGATTTGTAGAGACCCTTAGTATCACTAATAAGTGGTTTCTGGAGCAGAATAGGGTCGATAGTGCCAACTGGAATAAGGTGAAAGGAGGTAATCGTCTTACATCAGCAATTATATGGTCTTGAGTCTCTTCCTGGCACTACTTTGACGGTCTGGGGAGTGGTGGGAGATGCTCTTAAAGCCGGTGGCACTGCTGCCACTCAGGTAGCCACTGGGGCTGTCAGAACCACGAAACAATCAGAGGAAGAAGATAGAAGTTCCATTATGAGTTCTACATCGGTAAGTCCCCCTTCCTCTACTCAAAAAATACCAACAGCCCCTCCCCTAGATTATTCTACAGATGAGTCGGGAGGAGAGGAGGAACAGGATGAGGAAGGCCTCAGTTGTTACAAGCCAGGGAAGTGTAAAAGGAGATGGAAAACTCCTGGGGAGCCACCTCCTAGAACACTTGACAGGGTTGATCTTCCGTTAATGGAAAGACTGTGCTCTATGATGGAAAGAGTCCTGGCTTCCCAGGCCCCTAATTATGCTTACCCAGTCGTGGAAGGGACAGATCCTCAAGGGGCGTGTACTAGAGTACATGTCTCCACAGCTTTTAAAGATTTGAAGGCGTTAAAGGAGGTAGTTACTCAGTATGGCCTCCAAAGCGCTTTTACGCATACCTTATTGGATAGCTGTATCGACATGAATCCTACTCCAAACGACTGGAAGGCGCTGGTCAGGGCAGTTACCTACCCAGGGGATTATTTGGTATGGAAAGGTATATTTTTAGAGAACTGCACCCATACAGCTAAACTCAATGCTGATGCTGGATTTCCGGTTAGAAACAAGGATATGTTAGCAGGAGAAGGGCAATATGATAGTAATGACCAACAAAAGGATTATGATCCGGCTGTATTTGCCCAAGTTGCAGCAGCTGGACGGTCAGCCTGGAAGGCAATAGGAGATAGAGGAGGAGCTGACATTCAATTAACAAAGGTCATTCAAGGGTCAACAGAACCATATGCTGAGCTCCTAGCAAGATTGATGACTGCAGCTGGCCGAATTCTAGGTAACGAGTCATTACGCAGAAGGCTCGTGAAGAGATCACTAGAGTCGAAAAGGCTCTAGCCCAGGTGACCTTAAATAGGTAGTCTGTCTCTCGCCCTTTTGATGTCTTGGTGTTTTGTAGTAATCTTACTCCCACAGCACTTATATGGCAAGATGGTCCCGTTTATTGGATCCATCTTAACATCTGTCCAAAACGAGTCTTAGAGCCTTATTTTCATTCGGTCGCCAGAACTGTACAAACGGCTCTGGACTCCAGCCTACATCTTTCGGGTACTCACCCGCAAGCGGTAATTCTCCCCTATAACAAAGAACAAATTCAGTGGTTAATACGCCACCATGAAACATGGAGTAGTCTTTATTTTACCACTTCAGTGCTTTTTGATTCGCATTATCCCAGCAACCCTTTATGCAAATTTTTACAAAATCATCCAGTCTGTTTCCCCAGGATACTCGTTACTATTGTGGGGGCGCGGACAGTGTTTACAGATGGCTCAGTAATGGTACAGCCTCTTTTGTCTCTGAAGGGGATAGGAAGGTGGTCTCGGTGCCCAGTGGTTCAGCCCAAGTCATTGAGGAGACCGCCGTCCCCTCGGTTCTCGAGACCTACTCACGAGAACCTATCAATTTGTATTCTGACAGCAAATATCTGGTACATGCTTTAAATGTTTTAGAAACTGTTGCTCATATTTCTGTTCATAGCTCCATTGCACCCCTCCTTCATCAGCTGCAAACACTGATGTGTAAGAGAACTCATCACCTTTTTGTGGGTCATATCAGAGGTCATCTTCCATTGCCAGGACCTCTAGCGGCTGGCAATGCCGCAGCTGATTCTCTTACTAGGGAACATCTAATTTGTCCAGCACTTCAGAGTGCTATGGAAGAACATGCAGTCTTGCACACCAACGCCACGTCACTTAAGGGTCGTTACGGGTTGACTCGTCATCAAGCTCGTGACATTGTCCGTGCCTGTCACAAATGTGCACGTTTTGCTCCAGCTGCTGTGCAGCCCCCAGGAGTTAACCCCCGGGGCATCCTCCCTAACCATATTTGGCAAACCGATGTGACTCATGTACCCTCTTTTGGACGACAGAGCCTGGTCCATGTTTCCATCGACACATTCTCTGGTTTTCTTTTCGCCTCCCCACAGTGCAGTGCAAAGACTTCTGATGTCCGCTCACATTTGCTACAAGCGTTTGCGGTAATGGGCCGCCCACATGTCATTAAGACAGATAATGGTCCCGGTTATACCAGTAAGGCTTTTGCCTCCTTTTGTGCGGTCCATCGCATTGTGCACAAAACGGGAATTCCATACAACCTGCAGGGGCAGGGTATAGTTGAACGTGCCCATGGTTCTCTGAAAAGTATGCTTTTAAAACAGGGGGAGAACACTCCCCCAGGGACCGTTTGACTACAGCTCTCTTTACCCTTTTTTGACCCTAGATACCCAGGGGCGGTCAGCTGCTGCTCAGCACTGGTCGCCAGACCCTCGGGAGGTCACGATGTTGCAAACAAGATGGAAGGACCCAGTCACTAATGAGTGGCAACCACCCGCACCAGTATTAATATAGCTGCCCGGCAGCATTTGTCTTTTCCCACAGGATGCGGAAGCACCCCGATGGGTTCCTGATCGATTGGTTCAGTTTGTCAATATACCTGACCCTGCTAACCTTGATGACACGAGCATCCCAGATGTCAGTACGATGGGCAATTGTGCATTGGCTGCCTTTTCTGCTCCTCATTGATCGTCATGATTCCACTTTTCCGCAAGTATTTGCCACTAATCTTACTACTGGTCTGGCTTCCAAGCCATTGGATAGTGCCCTGTTGGGCCAGGGTGAGGTGAAATTATTTAATGGCATTTACTCTGCAAACATTAGTTCTACCACTGAACAATCTGTTAGTATTCAGAATAATAGATTAGAGAGTTTGTCTACTGCTGTCTGTCCCCTCCTTTCCTTTTTGTCCTCTCCAATAATGCAGGAAAAGCAACTGTGTTAAACTGTCCAGCGGAGCCCTGCGCCCTCTCTGCCTGCTGGACCCGGAGTACTGAAAGGGTGGTTATCATTCATCTGTTTTCTACTTTAATCATGCCCGTGGATGTTTCTGCGCGTCTTTTCCCTGTTCTACCTAGGAGGAGACGTGATTTTGGCATCACTGCAGCTGTTGTCGCTGTTTCAATAGTGGTGGCCGCGGCTGCAGCTGCTGCTGCCATCTCTGTCACTCAAGCTGCTGCCAATGCTGAC